TGTTTTTATTTAATGAATTGTGATTAATTGGTTAATATTAAAGTCGTAAAGCAAGTTATAATTAATCGAGTAAAGTGTAAAGTGAAGGGGAATACAAGGGAAAATTTTAGTAGACGGACGGCAAATTCTAGAAAAAGGGGGGATGAGGTGGGGTAGAATAGGACCCCCTGATTTCAAAAAAACCCCCTTTTTTCTAGCAACCCTATAGTTCTTCTATAATTTATTGTTAAAGTTTTCATGTAAACGATGAATAAGATCATGATTCAATAATACAAGGTTAGATAACACTGGTCGACGGCCAAAATTTACCAGAGACGCCGTTATGAAATTCGTATGTAAAATCACCCCCTGATTCCGAAAATCAAGGTTATTTTTAATTTTATGGTACCGTTTTTGAGAGATTTGCAAATTTTAAAATTGGGTCCACTTAATCATATATATCTCAAGAACGAATTAAGCAATTCCAAAACGGTTTGAAGCTTTTAAAAGGTATTAAAATTTTCTATAAGCTGTGCATACAACACTTTTTGCTAGGCCCTGTAGATTCAAAGATAACGAGCAATCATTACCGATTTTTTCAATTTTTTTTGTAAAAATATAAAAAAAAATTGTACTTTGCGGGGAAGGATCTCGAAAACCTTTTATTTTTTTGCAGATTTTTTTTTTCTCCCTAAGCTCTGTTATATTACAAAAAAAATAAGGTATCATCGAAGAAAATCGATGCAAAACTACGTAAGTTATTAGCGATCAAATAAAAATACCCAGGTTGCGCAATTTCAACGTATACCTCAAAACGTATGTATGGTATAAAGAAGAGTGAAATATCTAGCTATGCTCTGTTTCTATTGAGTTAAAAGTTCAATTTATGAATGAAATTACCCATATTTTTAACTTTTTTTTTAAATTTATTTATGTTTATACTATATTCTAACAATCTTTATCTTAATTTGATTTTACTATGTTGTCGAAATAATTATGTGTTCTACTTTGACGCTTATTCAGTTTAGGATCGGTTTCTCTTATGAGAAACCAGCAGTAATCACCCATGATTGCGACGTCCCAGAATCCTTGATATCGATTCTCAATTAATTTCATTTGCTGATGAAACCTTTCGCCATGTTCATCACTTTCGTCGCCAAGATTTGCCGGAAAAAAGCTCAAATGTGAGTGGAGAAAGTGAATTTTTAAAGACATATTTACGCCCATTTTCGCATAATTATTGATTAGGTCGTTCACTATCTGCTCGTAGTTAGGGCTTTTGTGTCTACCGAGAAAAGAAGCAACGACCTTTTCAAAGGATTCCCACGCTGCTGCCTCAACTGATGAGAGTAGTCCTTTGAATTGATTATTGTTGATCAACTTTCTTATTTGTGGTCCAACAAAAATACCTTCCTTTATCTTGGCTTGAGAAATATCTGGAAAAACTGTTTTCGAATAGTCGAATGCTTCGCCTTCTTTGTCCAAAGCCTTAACAAAGTTTTTAATGAGACCGAGCTTGATGTGTAAGGGTGGAAGTATGATTTTCTCTTTCTTGACAAGAGGGGTGTATTTGATGTTATCCACACCAACGGTAAACTCGACTCTTTCCGGCCAATCTTTTCTGACGTAGTGGTCCTTACGAGCTCGGCTATCCCACTTGCAGAGGAAGCAGCAGTGCTTGGTGTAGCCACTTTGTAGACCGCATAGCATTGCAACGACTTTGAGATCAGAACATATTTTCCAATCATGCTCTTCATATTTGATAAATTTGAGTATTTTTTGCATTTCCTCGTAGGTTTCCTTTGTATTTACTGCATGTGCAATCGGGATAGAAGGCTTTTTGTTACCAATATGCAATAATACAGCCTTCAAACTCAGTTTATTGCCGTCTATGAACAATCGCCACTCTTTTGAATCATATGTTTGACCAAACTCTTTGAATAAACCAGGGATGTCGTTGCAGTAGCATATACTGTCTTTCTTGGTATAGTGTTTGGAAAATGGTTCGTGACGAGTTCTACTATATGTCACCTTAACATCGGATGACACAAATTTAAATTGTTGCATACGAGAAGTGTGGATCTCGGCCTTTTCCTTGGATAGTTCCAAATCTCTTATCCAATCATTAAGTTGTGCTTGTGACAGAACGTTTCTTTCGTTTTCCATGCGAAATTCAGTACAACTTGATCCCCCGCACTCAGATGTTACTGTTGACAATGGAACTGGATCCGCAACTGCCGTTGAATGTAGTACTGGTAATGTCACTGTAGGTACGCTAGCATAGGTTACTCCTCTTGATCTTCCAACGCCAAGTACTTTTGTTTGACAAATATAACACTCTATTGAATGGCAAGTAGGTTCTCTCCATATCATTGGTGTATCAAATTTTGTTTGTTGTCCTGATTCCCACTGAATCAATTCTACTCGACACGATGTACACAAAGTGTTCGGTGTCCATGGTTTTTCAGCATTTTTAGGCTCAATTCCAAAATACTTGGAGTATAAAGTTTTGATATGATCTGAGAACACTCGTCGTCGCCTTATGATAGTATATTGGCCACACATGAAACAGAACATATCTGGATCCTTATTACACTAAAATTCTCGCTTCCTTTTACTCATTTTATTTTTTTTTAATAAATCACGGTTTTGAAATTAGACTTATGAACTGAACTATCTCCGGCGAGCCTTGAAGATGTTATGAAGTTTCAAAGCGCATTAACTCATATTTATACTCGGAACAAGAATAAAATTGAAAAAATCAAATCTTACCTAGACAGAAAGGTTCCTTTTTATAACAAGCCGGGAAAAGAAAATACTACCTGTTTTAGATGTAGGCTTTAGAAATTTTCTGTGTCTTATAATTTTGAAAATCTACCTGCATACTTACCCATAACTGACGGAAATACATGTTTATAACTACATGCCTACAGCAGGTTTCGAACCCAACCACTCTTCCTTTCGATGCAACCACTCTACCTACTATAATACAATTCGAGTATTAAAAGTACTATTTGATTTATTTAAAGAAAAAGTGTTATCATTGTTATGGTGTTATTCGTTTATCCGGATAATATCTCACTTGCACTTTATACCTTTAATATATGTATGTATGTATAGGTACATACATTGAAGTTGCGCAACCTGGGTATTTTTATTTGATCGCTTATAACTTACGTAGTTTTGCATCGATTTTCTTCGATGATACCTTATTTTTTTTGTAATATAACAGAGCTTAGGGAGAAAAAAAAAATCTGCAAAAAAATAAAAGGTTTTCGAGATCCTTCCCCGCAAAGTACAATTTTTTTTAATTTTTTACAAAAAAAAATTAAAAAATCGGTAATGATTGTTCGTTATCTTTGAATCTACAGGGCCTAGCAAAAAGTGTTGTATGCACAGTTTATAGAACATTTTATTACCTTTTCAAAGCTTCAAACCGTTTTGGAATTGCTTAATTCGTTCTTGAGATATATATGATTAAGTGGACCCAATTTTTTTTTTTTTGCAAAAACGGTAAATTGCAAATATCTCAAAAACGGTACCATAGAATTAAAAATAACCTTGATTTTCGGAATCAGGGGGTGATTTTACATAAGAATTTCATAACGGCGTTTCTGGTAAAGAGAAAAAGTTGAAATTTGTGGTCCAGTGTAATTATTGACAGCTGCGGTTTGACACTCCGTTACAAAAGGTTGCATTTACGAAGGACAGAGAAAGGGCAAGAATGCAATCCCTTGTTGCGAAAATGGTAGTAGAAAAGTACGCAAAGTAGGCAATTAGTAGTGAAATTCCTTTTGTAAATTCTAATGTATTTGCAGGAAATCTGGACTTTTAAACGAAATGTTGAACGTAATATTGAAATAACAATGGCTGACAGCAACACAAAATGTGTGCTACGTTAAAAAAAAATACACCACAAGAAGTGCGTATAATTACGGGGTATAAGTGTACTATACGTACATTGCTCTTAATAAAAAAAATAATATTAGGATTGATAGGGGTCTTACTCCTGATCATAACGGTATAATGTTTTACTGGGGGAACTAATCGCACGATATTTTATTTTTATCAATACTTCTATAAATAATGAAAATTTTTTATAAAAAATCGCGTGATTTTTATTACAAAATCTCTCCATTTTAATAAAAAAAGATTAATTACAATGTCCGTTTTTATTGCTTCCCTTTTTCAGTGCTTTTTATTGGGCATTTTTTGTTGTGTGGCAGCACCGACATTTTAGTTCAATTGGTTTGCAAAGCAAAAAGTGAGCTAATTGAATTTTTGCATAGCACAAAATTAGATGGAGTCCTATAAAAAATAATAATAATAATAATAATAATAAAAAAAAATATATATATATATATATATATGTGTATATAAAATAAAAAATTAAAAAAAATATATGAACTATGCAGTAAAGGAAAAAAAAGATAATAATAGCTCTAAAAATTTTATATTAATGATTTAGAGACCTTGAGAAATACAGATGTAAACAGCATTGTTGAAAATTTCAAAAGCATTGCTAGCTGTCAACAAGGAGGAAAAATAAAAATATGAAAATTTTTACATTGTTTCAAACCAAAATGCTGATTTGGTTTCTCTTCAGTGACCAGTAATCAAAAATAAATGCCCCGAAATCCAAATTGCCTTTGTCTTATACACTTTATTTAATATAAAAAACAGAACGAGAAAATTGTGTATCTATCACTAGAAAAAATTGATGTATGTATCCGGTAATTCAAAAAGTAAGTGAAGTTGGTTGCGAGTAAAATAAGAAAAATATAAATGTCAGAAATGGCAAGTCACCAGGGGTGATTTTAAATAGTATCATCAACATTCCGGCCCTCTTGAAAGCATCCGCTTTTAAATATCGATGAACAGTGGGCAAAGTTTGACAATGGGTCTTTTTAGGGTCCCCTTAAAAGTGTCTACAGACGCCACTCGCACTAAACCATCGGATCCTGGATGCACTTCTGAGATCTTTCCAATGGACCATTGGGTTGGTGGTAGGTTGTCGTCCTTTATGATAATTGTGTTACATATTCGATTGACCACCTTTTCCAAAAATGCTGTGTCAGCTTCTGAAGGTATTGCCAACGATTTACTGCATTTTCCTTTAGGTTGAGGAGGTTTTTGTCTGGCAGAGAAGTCATTGGGCGCATAATCAGGAAATGTGCTGGAGTCAAGGGATCGATATCGCCTTCAAATTTGGTACATAGTGGGCGTGAGTTGAGACATCCTTCAATTTGACAGAGAATAGTGTTCAACTCCTCATATGTAACGCACGCATCAGCCAATGTTCGTTTTAAGTGATACTTGACTGACTTGACGCCTGCTTCCCATATGCCGCCGAAGTGGGGTCCTGCAGGTGGGGAGAAATGCCACTGAATTTCTTGCTCAGCTGACGCTCTTGAAATAGTTTCCTGTGTTGTCGAATCATTTATGTATTGGTATAGTTCCCGCAAATGTTGATTAGCACCCACAAAGTTGGTACCATTGTCTGAGAATATATGTAATGGTTTTCCGCGCCGCGCAGTGAATCTTCGTAGTGATGCAATGAAAGCCGCTGTAGACAATTCAGTCACCAGCTCAATATGTATTGCCTTGGTGGTCAAGCAAATAAAAAGTGCTATCCAGCATTTATACAGTTTAGAGCCACGTCCCTTCCAAGAACGTACCTGTATCGGCCCAGCAAAATCGATCCCCGTGTTGAGGAAAGGTGATCCTGGATCCAAACGATATTTTGGTATGTCACCCATTTGTTGTTGGTAGGAAATGCCGCGGTGTCTCATGCATACTGTACATTTAAAGATGCCCTGCTTGATAACATGTGTGACTCCTGGAATCCAGTACTTAAGAGCCAAGAGATAATGTAATTGCCTCTGTCCGGCATGCAAGTAACGTATGTGATAGTCACGTACAATTAGTTTAGTTAACGGGTGAGTTTTGTCCATTATGAATGGATGTTTCTGATTATAATTGATTTTCGCGTTGGTAACTCTGCCACCTACGCGGAGCAATCCTTGTTCGTCAATAAATGGAGCAAGTGGTGCCAACTTATGTGAAGATGGTAACTGCCTACCTTGACCGATAGTTCGTAACTCGAATGTGTAAGATCCTGCTTGTACTGATCTAACCAGGACATCATGCGCCGTGCGTAGTTCACTGGTTGTAATGGATTGATTATTACCTTTGCTATTAATGCACTTAGCTTTGCAGTTGTTGACAAATCGCAAAAGAAGTGATGTGATTCGCAGCAGTCGTGTATAACAGGAGTAGCGCTCTATCACTGAAACCTCAGTTGTTACGCTTGCAAGTGCAACCGTGCTTTTCCGTTCTTCCTGCGTTATGTCATCTTCCAGAGGAGGCACTAAATGACACGTCTCTGGAATGTCTTTTAGTTCACCTGGACCATGCCACCAAATCTCGTTAGATAGAAGTTCTTGAGGACACAATCCCCTTGTGGCAAGATCTGCAGGATTGTGCTGAGAAGGAATGTGTCTCCAACGCTCAGACGGAACAACTTTTAATATTTCCGCAGTTCGATTCGCTATGAATGTTTTCCAACGGCGAGGATGATCCCTTAACCATGCCAACACTATTGTGGAATCCGTCCATCCAAAGGTTTCAGCCTTTGACAATTCCAGCGCATTTTGTACTTTAGTCATTAATTTCGTCATAAGATGTGAACCACATAGCTCAAGCCTTGGTAGTGTGATTTGTTTAACTGGAGCCACACGCGTCTTGGCAGCTATTAAATTTGTTGATATTTGCCCATTTTCATGGTGAACTCTAATGTATATAGTTGCTGCGTATGCCAGCTCCGAGGAGTCTGCAAATCCATGTAGTTGTACGAGCTTCTCATTGGAGTAACGTATCCACCGGGGAATATGTAACTGTAATATGCGGTTGATGCTTTCTCGATACTCAACCCATTGAGTGTAAAGGTCGTGCGGTAATGCCTCGTCCCATCCTATTCCTCTCAACCACAGTTTTTGCATGAATATCTTCATTGATATAACCACTGGCGACAACCATCCGATGGGATCAAATACCCTAGCTAAATCCGATAAAACACTTCGCTTGGTTGTATGTTGGTTTGATGGCAAACAAACGCTGTATTTAAAACTATCGGTCGATGTATCCCATAAGAGTCCCAGTGTCTTTACTGTGCATGTAGAGTCTATATAGGTATCAGATTGAACCTCTCGATCCTCACTTGGAATACTTTCCAAGAAGGTTGCTGAATTTGAAGACCACTTGCGCAGATGTAACCCAGCATCAAACAACAGGGCGCAAATCTCTTCTTTAAGCTGAATCGCAGTAGCTTCGTCGGTAGCGCTTGCCATAAAATCGTCTACGTAGAAATACTGTGAAATTGCTTCAGATGCTTTCGGATGTGCATTGGCGTTGTCATTGGCGATTTGCTTCAAGGTTCTAGTTGCGAGGAATGGCGCAGCTGACGTTCCATAGGTTACAGTCTTGAGATTATATTCTTTTATGGGTTCATCGTTTGACCTCCGCCAAAGTATACGCTGCAGTGATTGGTCGTCAGGGTCCACCAAGATCTGGCGATACATCTTCTCTATATCCCCTGTAAATCCCAACTTGTACTTGCGAAAATTTAAAATAATGTCAAATAGATCTCTCTGAATTGTGGGTCCCACGAGCAACTGGTCGTTGAGCGAGAGTCCATTTGTAGTCCTACATGACCCATCAAAAACAACCCTCAGCTTAGTTGTTGTGCTGTTAGGCTTTAGCACTGCGTGATGCGGTAAAAAATACGTACGTTTTGGATCGAAATTACCAGCCGGCTCCATGTGGCCCAACGTGATATAATCGAACATAAATTTTTGGTATTCTTGCTTGAGCTGAGCATTATTATGAAAACGTCGTTCCATAGCTAAAAAACGTTTTAGAGCGTTGGTACGTGACTCACCGAGTTGCGGTTCGTTTTTCAATGGAAGTTTAACTACATATCTTCCAGACTCGTCTCGCTTAACAAATTGTTTATAATGATTTTCAGCTGCTAACTCATCAGGGGTGAGATGCTGAAGCGGGCCCTTAACGTCCTCAATCTCCCAGAATTGTTGCAGCTGTTGGCTAATCTCCATGAGTGTATGCGCGGTAATGATATGTTGTTCGTTCTCAGATGACAGCCTACCGATCAAAACCCATCCAAAAATTGTGTACATTGCCGATGGTGAGCCACTGGGGTGCGGTATAATGCTTGGTAAGATGCAATCGGCTAGAACATCTGCTCCGAGAATAAGGTCAATGCGACCTGGCTTATCGTAGTATGGGTCAGCCAATTCCAAATGCTTAAAAAACTCTGTGGTCTGGCTGGAGACCTTATATGAAGGTAAGTTCCGTGTTAGATTTGATAAACAAAGTCCCTCTGTTGAGATGGTCTTGCCTTGAAGTGCATGAATGCTTATGTACACTTTTCCTTTTGAGCGACTTCCATCCGTTGCTCCTACTCCATAGAGAATAGTGTTGTCGTATTTGGGTTTTAGTTGAAGACGTTGCACGCATGCTGCAGAAATAAGTGTGCCTTGTGATCCTGAATCCAGCAAGGCACGACATTGCTGCAGTGAACCAGTCGCATCCTCAACCATCACCAAAGCAGTTGGGAGCAACGTGATTGACTGTGGACTTGATTGCAAACTGTTCACACTAATGCTTGTAGATTCTTCACTTCGTACTGGTGGTTGAGATGCACTTGTTTGTTGCTTCTCTGTCGACGACCGATCTAAGTGCAGAAGCGTGTTGTGCTTACCGTTGCATTTACGACAAAATGATCGTTTGCAATTCACAGCCTGATGATTTGCTTGCAAACAATTAAAACACATGTTGCCTTGCTGGACAACCTTTCGCCTTGCTTCTACGTTGAGTTCCTTAAATTTACTGCAGTTGTATAGTGGATGATTCGAAGAACAAACAGGGCATGCCTGCATAACAGTAGTAAAAGTGCGTGATTGTTTTTGCTTATTGTAACTCTGATGTGATTGGTGGTTTGTGCCCTTAGATGTATTTTCGAGTTCAAATACACGCTTTTCCAAAAAATTTAAAAAATGTTGTATAGTTGTCGATTCGTCCGACTTTCTATCTCGATACCACAAAGTATGAGTTTCAGAATCTAGTTTTTTCTCAAGTATAAAAAGTAAAATTGAATCCCAGTGCTCTACTGGCTCTTTGAGCACCCTTAGTGCGTTTATGGTTTCGTTGGTTGTGTTATACAAACGTTTTGCTTCAGAAACTGATGAAATTTTCATCACAGGTTGATCAAACAAAATTTCAAAATAAGCCTTTTTTATATTGTCAGGTTTGTCATATTTTTTCTTCAATAGTTGCCAAGCGATTTCATAATTTGCATTTGCTGGTTGCAAATGCTTTATGAGTGACAGTGCATCACCCTTTACCTTCGTTTGCAAATATTCCAATTTCTCAACATTTGAAATGTTAGTTTTGTTGTGAAACATGGCTTCGAATAGATCGCGGAATCGCATCCACTCGATGCACTTGCCATCGAAGTCAGGAATTTGTATTCGTGGCAATCGAAGCTCTTGTTGTGGCAGCTGTTGCAAATTGTTTATTGTGTTGGCTGGTGATGACGAAGATCTACCATCACTGCTTACGTTTTGTGAAATGCGTTCAATTAACGCGCCCATGGTGCCCTGATGCTCCATTAATGCTTGCATTGCTGTCGAAATATCTCTTGGAGATTGCTGATTCTCGATAATTGTCGCATTACCACCCTCTACTTGCGCACGTGAATAGCTTGCTTTAATTGTAAAATACTTTTCTTCAATTGCGGCCCGATACTCGTCCTCTTGCTCAAGCTCGCTAGCCGTTGTTGTAAGAAGATCGATTTCATTCTGAATATCGCCGTATTGCTTGAATAATTCTTCAGCGCGCTCTATACGCACTTTTAAATCGTCAATTGTCGTGTTTGTATCTGCACAAATACTTTGAATTCGTGTCAGACTGCTTTTGATTACTTGACGTTGTTTTTTAAATGAATCCATTTTGTGGTGGTTGTTTTTTTACTTATGTTGACGTTTCTACTATGTTCTACTTGTGGCAAATGTCAGTTGTCGTCAATGTACGACCGCTATTGTGACTGCAACATACAATTGCTGCCAGATGTCTTGAATAGTACTCCGAAAATTGTGCTTATTACTCCGAACGAGTCTCCAATTTGTGTTGCAATTTCAGACACCCTTGTGTGTCTCCAAATAAGATGTTGCAACTTGAGTCACCCTTGTGTGCCTCCAAACGATGTAATGCTGCTTGTGACACAATCTCGTGCCCCCAATCACGATGATGCGATTACAGACACTCTTGTGTGTCTTCAATGAAGATTATGTAATTCCAGATACTTGTGCGCCTCCAAGTAAGACGCCAATTGATAGTCGAAATTTACGGTGGTGTATACAGAAGCAACCTGGATTCCTTGAGCATCCGGCTCGAAGGACCAAATTATGTTTCAAACCAAAATGCTGATTTGGTTTCTCTTCAGTGACCAGTAATCAAAAATAAATGCCCCGAAATCCAATTTGCCCTTGTCTTATACACTTTATTTAATATAAAAAACAGAACGAGAAAATTGTGTATCTATCACTAGAAAAAATTGATGTATGTATCCGGTAATTCAAAAAGTAAGTGAAGTTGGTTGCGAGTAAAATAAGAAAAATATAAATGTCAGAAATGGCAAGTCACCAGGGGTGATTTTAAATAGTATCATCAACATACATAATAAATTGGAAAAAATTTTAACAATATGCAGTACAAAGTAGTATGAGATACGCACAAATGTTATTATAGGACTCAATTATTATATGCCTTTGTTAAGGATATCCCTAGTATCACTATAAATATTACATATAGCCGTGCTCCCATTTTCAGAATCGCAAATATTTTTCGTTTTACTTTTCAAATCGCAAAATTACGTGCTCCAATATTCGCAAATCGGAAAATTTTTGCGGTTTCAAATCGGTTGCCGGTGAGACGGTGGAATGAAAAGTAAATGGCAAAATTAACATAAATAACAAGCTAGCTTAGTTTAAATTTATTTCGGATTATGCCCATTATATTTTGCGATATTTTTTGCGTCCTAAAATTTACTTCTTATGTTGATTTTATTTGTTTAATTAACTATTTATTATACCTATCTCCGTTTTGGGCAACGAAAATTTATCGAAGCAACGAAGATTTACGATTTGGTGCGGACGAAACATGTGCGATAATTGTTGCATACCTTCAAGGGATGGCTTTCAGGAATGCTGGAAACGATGTGGAAAATGGCACTTATCGATAACAACAAGTTGCGAATTCAGGAGCACCCAAAAATAAAAACGTACGATTTTGACAAAAACGCAAATTGCAAAAGTAAGTGGAAATGGGAGCACGGCTGATAAATATGTTATTGGTGTATTTGCTTTATTTTTGTCTTATAAATATGTAACTGTACCGCTTAAACTTATTTGAACTTAGTCTTTAAAATTTGTTTTTTTTTTATCAACCTTCACCCTGTCTACGGAAACATGGCTGGGTGAAGGAATACACTTTTGGATTTAACTGCTAGTTTGATACAACCTGGCATTGTTGGGAATGACAAGTCTCACCGCCATTCTTGAACTAGTTACTAGTTCATAAAGCTAAAAAAAAGCAAAAAGTGAGGTTTAAGTTGACATTTTTTGTAACTAAAAATTCAATTTTCTTAAAAACCATCAGCCTCCGGAGGGGGGGTTTTCAGATTTACAATCACAAAAAGCCGCTCTAAACCTCCTCATTTTTGTTTTTTTTTTTTAAAGCCGGGTTCCATATTGGAAAATTTTCCCATTTTTATTATGTACAACCGGTGTACATTTTATTTTAGCAATATTATACACTTTCGCGTAGTACATTTTGTTTTGCGATGTGTGCCTTTATTGACAATTTATAGAGTCGCTCTCATAGGGAGTGGTGCAATTTGTGGTAATCACGTTCTGCTTTATTTAGGGTATGCAGTTTTATGCGCGTTGTTGCAAACAACGCTGGTGACACTGAATCAGTTTTGCCGGTCAATTTCCTCACACACATTGCTTGTCAGAAGTCATCAAAATTGAAAGCCATTACGTAGGCGGCATTCAATTTGAGAAGCAATTTCATTGTCAAAATGTCGTCTTCAAGAAAACAATGTAACTAACTAGCTTCTGAAGACCTTTTTCCATTTTTAGATGCATTGTAGATTAATATTTTAGCTTGGGGTAGCTTATTATTTTTTTATTTTCACAAAACTTAAAGCAAAATTGAAACTCAATTGAAAGGAAAAAATTGAAAGCAAGTTGCCCGTTCAAGTAATAAAGAAGGGTGTGTTAGTGAAAAACTGTGAGTGTATTGAAAATTTAAAGGAGATGATAGCGCAGATTTATGCGGAATAAACTATTACAAATGAAAATAATATTTTAACAGTCAATACAATATCTATACATATCTTTTTCTTTTTTTCAAACATTCTATTATGTACTGCTAACCAGGCGATAAAGAAATCCATGTCTTGCATCAATATGTATATTAGGGGACCGACTGATGGATCCAAAGACGCCTGCATGGAAAGGACTCCTAATCCCGAATTCTTCGGTCCAAAGCCCAATATGTGCGAATCGATTAACCACCACCTTATAATTTAAAGAGGTCTTTTTATAATCACCGCCATGATTCAATAATACAAGGTTCGATAAACTGACAGTTGTCTCTCTCGCTCCCTTAGCAGTGGCAAAGTGTTGCTTCTTTGCAAATTTACTTGGAAAAAGTGTTGCTTTGCTGTGAAATAGAAGTATAAGCTTTTCTGCAATATGTTCCTTTGTATATGGATATGAAGCACATTTAACTGATGAAAACATAAACTGCTTTTAAATTGGATGTTTACATAAACCTCATAGTAGTTTTATTTTAATTTTGAGTCTTTTTGCAGTTTTTATACGGCTAAATAACACAAAAATTGCGTAATTCACGTAGATAAATTAACATTTCGTTCAATATTTCGTTTAAAATGCTAGATTTCCTGCAAATACATTAGAATTTAAAAAAGGAATTTCACTACTAATTGCCTACTTTGGTAACTTTCTACTACCATTTTCGCACCAAGAGATTTCATTCTTCCCCTTCCTCCGTCCTTCGTAAATGCAACCTTTTGTAAGGGAGTGTCAAACCGCGGCTGTCAATAATTATCTAACCTTGTATTATTGAATCATGAATCACCGCCACTTACACTACCGATACTGCTTAGCACAGTATAGACAGTAGCCAACCTTTTTGGGTTGTTGTTGTAGTAATCGTTGTTGTAGCTATATTGACCCTTGAGGAAGGCACTGGGTTGTGTGCTGCTATTTAATTGCCTTCCTCAGCCTTTTTCTTAGATTTCAGGGTTGTGTGCTGCATTATTATTATATAAATAAATTTAAGCATTTCACAAATCGTGATTTTATAAAAAGATAGTTATAAATGATGTTGAAAAAGCAAACAGACGCTCGTGCGAAATCTCTATTTTTGTGTGTTGTTAAAATTTATACATGGCGTATTGATGGTTATACAAGCAATCTATTCTTTTGTGGATTTGATGTTACTTGAGAATTTAGACAACGTGCGAGCTGCCAGGTTCTGTTATCAGTATAATTAACACAAGCTTTTCCGCGCGGTTGCCTTTCAATAAACAGAATTAACAAATATTCGCAAATAAATTTGATTTATCTTATAACTGACAACTAACGTACGATTTTTGTTCTTTTCCAGACTCCATTTTGATTTTGACTCTTTATTACCGCCAATAACTTTAAGTGTATACATATTTACAAGCTGTCAAAATTTTGGGTGGTTCCACGAGCTAAGTAAAAATTATGGCGTTCGTATTCATAACGAGAAATCTCAAAATTTTTGTTTGATCTTTCATTTCGTTTCTCTTTTTTTATCAGTTGGCAAAGGCCCTCAGTGGCGGCGCTCCCAGCGTTGAGATACCAAATTCATGTCAATTAGTAGAAAAGTTCCAAGGTGTAATTCTTGCTGTAAAACTTTTCACCAGCGGGTTGAAAATTTTCATTTACCTCATAGTTGTCAAAAATTTGAAATCCGGAGTACTTTTCTATCAATTGGCACAGGCTTTTTGCGCAAATAAGGTTATGAAATGCGTTTGATTTAAATCGTTTAAAAAATGAGTCATTTATGTATACCATTTTATGTGGAATTGTTCAATAAATTTTGTTTTACATTATACTTTTTGAAACTACTGGAGTTAATTATTTTTTTTCTCAAAAGCAACCCTGTGTGCTTAGAAAGAGTGTGTACCAATAATTTCATCCTTGGCTTATTCATTACGAGGAAGGCAGTCGCTAAATTCACCCAAGGTTGTTTAGTGGTTATACTGTGCTGCTTAGGTTCATCGTGGTTTGTGAATGGGCCTCCGCACACTGGACTGCTCAGTCCGCCTAAAACTGGGTTTGTTTGATAAAAGGGGAAAGAGAGTTCGAATTTATTTTTTGCTAGTTTGCTCAGGCCCAATGGCAACGGCCATTCCCGGAAATAGGAAACGTAGCCCACAAAAAATCCACATACGTCCCACAAGAAGCACGGTTACCTGCTGTCCAGATTTATGCCATTGCACACTAGCAAATTTTTATCGATCAAGTTTGCGCAAACTTTCGCTAAAACTGGTTCAGAAAATTGCATGTAATCCGAAAATTATACTTAAATAGATCAAATAAACTCCTCATATTACATTCTCGCTGACCTGTAAGTTAACATCACTAATCTAATTCTTTTTTGAGTATAAAAAATAGATTCCCAAACAGACAATGGCCCGTAGTCATAGTCAAAATAAAGTCGACTTTAAAGTTAGTTGCAGCTTTTTGACATAATTTTCAATGGGATATCTGTCAAAAAAGCTGCAACTAACTTTAAAGTCGACTTTATTTTGACTATGACTACAGGCCAATAAATTTCCTGCTATATTAGTTGAACTTTCGGCCAATATTAACCCTCAGGTAAGCAA